TATATGTGCTTGTGTGTGTGTCTATGCATATACATACATACATACAGAGGAGAACGAGAAGGTCACGATATTTTATATTGACAGAAAGTTGCAAATACGTAACTTAACTACTTAAAGAATTTAAAGAGATTTATGATGCTGCCAATATTCACATTTCGCATTGTTCTTTTAAAAAATATATATTTAGGCCTAATAAACACTATAATGTAAATATTGTTCAAAGGACACAAATGTATATGCACTTTAACCATTTTGAATTTCAAGGACATCATCACTGATAACAAATAAAAATGCTGACGCGTGTATTCGCGCCAGTTCAGTTGAGTTTATCAGTAATGACAACAGGTCTGCTGAACTTCAGTTCACGGATGAATGCAGTTCACCGTGGATGATGTCATGGGCTCTGTCTCAAATTCCAGTCAGCAGCCTACCTTGTGTCCGGCCAAAAAAAAGCTGCGCGCGCCTCAAAACGCTATCGAGTGGTCGGCGGTCTAGGCATTGAGCCACAGCCACGGTGTTTGGGAGTAAAGTGCTCACTCAGATGGGTTTTAGAGAGGGGCGGAGGAGGGCTCGCCTCATGAGGGCATAACGGCAGTGTACTTGTGGGCTTTGTATTTATTTTTGCTTCAGAGTTGCTTTGTTTTATATACAGATAAAGCAAACACCTCTTGATTTGAAATGTAGCTTTTAGCGGACTTTTTCCCTTGTAAAGTAAATGGACGCCGCGGTGAAATCGGAGACTGGTGCTCCGCTCTCTCATTCACGAGTGAGATGAATCTCTGAAACCGCTGACGGTCCGTGTCTTCGGCGATGCCTCCGCAGGGAGATGGAGAATTCAAGCCCGCTCCAGGTACGGTAGTGCCACCGGTTCCCCCGAGGAGATTCCGGAGTAGAGATTTGTCATCCGCGGTGAAGAGCCGCTTCGGGGCGGCAGCGGAGCGCAGGGTGAAGTGCGTGCTGGTTGGTGATGGTGCAGTGGGTAAAACTAGTCTCATTGTGAGCTATACCACCAATGGATATCCCACCGAGTATGTTCCAACAACGTTTGACAACTTTGCAGGTAAAAATCACCCCAGTTTAATTCAACTAAACTGTAATAAATTAAATAAAAAAGCAATAACATATATATATATTAAAAACTTAAACGCGTTTATAATTAAACCGTAAAGTTAAATTGTAATGAAATAAAGAAATGCATAAAACATAAAAAACATAAAACTACCTGTTTTCTATGTTAGAAAATCCAGTTTAAGCTGGTGCTGATGCGTTTTGGATCATGGTAACGTTAGCTAATTGTCCTAAACTGGTCATTAGCTGGTCCAAACTGCTGGTAGACCATCTTTAGACCATATAAACCTATAAACCAGCTACCAGCTGATCATACCAGTACTGCAATACTGACTAGTTTTAGTACTGATTAGGAATTAAGTAATAACCAGTTTAATGACAAGCTTGAACCAAAAACTACTCCAAAACAGAGTTCAGTAGGATTTTATATATATATTAGTGCTGTCAAACGATTAATCGTGATTAATCGCATCCAACATAAAAGTTTTTGCTTACATAATATATGTATGTGTAGTGTGTATATTTATTATGTATATATAGGGACACACACATACAGCATATATTTTGAAAATATTTACATGTGTATTCATGTATTTATATGTGTATTTATATTTACATGTTTATATTCATATAAATGATATCATATATAAATATATTTAATATATAAACGTAACATATTTTTCTTAAATGTATACATGCATGTGTGTGTGTTTATATATACATAATAAATATACAGAGTACACACATATATTATGTAATCAAAAACTTTTATTTTGTATGCGATTAATCGCGATTAATCATTTGACAGCACTAATTTCTATTT